TTATATTTAAGGTTAATTTGAAAGTGTCTAAAAAGGTTTTGATTTTATCGAAGCCACATTTTAGTTTTGAGCGTGCCAACTCCCATGTCTCCGCATGAAATACCACCACTGTATCATCAGCATATGCTATCAGCTTTCCATCAACTTCAAGTTTACAGAGAAAATTTACATAAACATTAAAAAGTATGGGCCCAAGTACCGTACCTTGTGGAACACCATGTTGAACTGTTTTTGGTTCACTTAGGGTCTCTGCAATCTTAACAAATTGAGTCCTATGAGCCAGGTAATCAGCAAAGACATCCAACACGGTACCCCTAATCCCATGCATCTCCAAGACTTGATAAAGCAAGGGATGCGATACCGTGTCAAATGCCTTTGCTAAGTCCAGCAAAGCAATGTATTTATCACCATTGTTCATGTGAGACATTATTTTTGACACTAGTTCATACATTGCATGTGACGTACTCAAACCAGGCAAGAAACCAAATTGATTTTTAGATAGTAAATTATTGGAGTTCAAAAACTCAACCAATCTAGATTTAAGACATTTCTCAAAAATTTTTGCCAGATTTGAGATGACACTTATTGGTCTATAGTTGTTTATATCTTCTTTGTCTCCAGATTTATGTATTGGTGTTACAACGGACGTTTTGAATTGTGGAGGGACTTTTCCGGTTTTAAAAATTAAATTAATAGTTGTTTAATTATTTTGGTGGTAATTTTGTCTAATCCTGGAGAACAACCATTTTTTAAATTATTTATGTGTTCTATGATTTCATTTCTGTCTGTTGGCTTGAAGAACATTGAGAAGGAAGGACTGTCAGTGAAACGAAATGGACTTGTTGGGTCTTCAATTTTATCAGGCATTTGTTAGCCTATATTTGAAAAAAAATTATTTGCAAAGTCCGCAATCATTTTCCTGTCAGTAATTTTATCATGATTTCCATCCCTTATGCAAGTTATAATTTCCCTTGTTTGCTGTTCATGTGTTGCCTTTCTAACTAGATTATAAACTTTTTTAATGTCATGTGAGTTTTGATTAAATTTATCCTTGAAATAGTCATTCTTTGTACATTTAATGATTTTATTTAGGCGATTTCTGTATTCCTTATATTGCAATATTTTAGTGTAAGACGAATTTACTTTAAGGGCTTTTTTCAGCTTATCTCGATTTTTTATAGACCTTATTATCCCACCTGTAATCCAAGGTTTAAGCTTGTTATAAGTTTTTGCAGTATTTTTTATATATTCAGAATTTTCTATTATTGTAGTTAACTTATTTGATAAATAATTTGTGGCTTGTTCTGGTTGAATAAAACTTAAGGTGTTTGCCCAGTGTACCTTGGATGCAAATCGATTTAATTTATTCATATCAATGGATTTAATCTTTTTTTTCAAAATTAGTTTTTGTAGAATTATTTAAAATTGAATTATTTGAGATATTAAGCATAAGAGGCAAATGATCAGTTATATCATGTTCTAGGTATCTACTTTCTTTGAAGTTACCTTATTCTTGTCTCGTAAGAACATATGATCCAGACAAGTTCCGCTCTCTTCCCGCGTAACTTTCTGACACAGTGCGGCATATCCATACGAAAACATTGTGGAAGGATTTACTATTTACATCAGCACTGTCCCCATCAAGAAGATTGATGTTGATATCACCCAAGAAAATGTCAATATTACTATAAGGGTTTGAATTCATCTTAAAAAAAACATTTAAATCATTAATAAAATTATTCAAATTCGATGACGGTGACCTGATGCAAATATACTAAAATTAATATTCTCTTTATAGATAATGTGATCCTTGTTATGTTTACCTCTGATGTTTGTAGTCTATAGTTAGTAAAATTTAAATTTAAATTGAGTTTTGAGTAGATAACAATTCCATCAAAAGCATTATAGCTCTCATTATTATAATATGCCGAATACCCTGAAATGTTAAAATGTAGTATAGTTTCTAATTTATGACATTCAGTTAGAATTATGATATCACAGTAAGCAGTAATCTTATACGTTTCTAGAAATACCAATAAATTATTAAAATTTGACTTTAAACCTCTAATATTCACGTGCAGAATATTAACCAGTTTATGACCTGTGTTTACCCTATTCACCAAAACATTGGGATCAACTTTCGAGCCAATATTTACTGACTTTGGTATAGTCTCAAGTATCTCACTGATAGGATCAGCCATAGTTAATTCTAGATTTTGCACTTTCTAGACGATACTTGAATGTAGAGCATTCAACATCATTTGCCTTGTGATGAACGTCATGAGTTGTTGAATATTTGGTATTTGCTATATCACAGTTATTGCACTTGGGTTTTTGATTCTGATTAACACAGTCTTTCTCTTCATGTTCTCCGGCGCAGTTACAGCAAATGAGTTTATTTGGACAGTCGCTGCTTTTATGGTTGTATTGCTGGCACTTAAAACACTTGAGTATACTTATATTTTCATATACTGGAAGCCTTTCCCTCTTTTCCTCTTTCTATAAACATATGGAACAATTTAGGGGAGCATTCTGCATAAACTGTCTTATATTTTTTGGTTTTGAAGGACTTAATGTATGTCACTTTAAAATACTCATCAGCTATAAATGGGTTCTGCATTTTTATCATCGATTCCATATCCTTTTCACTACAATCTCTTCTATATCCAGGTATTTTTATCTGCGGATTCTTGAGTGTTGTTTCTATAATGTCGTAGGTTTTGCCTAAGACTTTGGTAGCTGTGTCCCTCATCTTTTTCATGTCTCCTTCTGTAGGAAATTTTAAAAGAACTTTTCCATTTGAGAGTTCTTTTTTATTGTTTATTCTAACTCCCATATCCACTGGTTTTATCCTCTGTATATCTTCTCTGGTTTTTGGCATGTCTTGCCTATTCTTTGGTTTAATTATCAAGTTCGGAAGATTTGGCCTTATTACTGGTGATGTTCCTTAAGCACGCGTGAATATGTTGGCTTATCAAATTTTTTTTCCATATTTTCTGACAAGTTATTGACTTTTTCCTCAAAGCTTGCAACCTTATCGCAAAGATTTTTAATTTTGAGATTGCAGGTTTCCATTTCCATTAACTTTTTTAAATGTGGAGGTACGCATTTCCGACGCCGCAGAATGGTTCTGGCCCAGTGAAGGGAGTGGCCGCTCCCGTTTTTGCAAGTTCGTCTGCACATTCATTGCCCTATGTATCCAGGAACCCAGAGTAGGGTTACTTTGTTCTCCTTCCCCAGCTCATTGAGTTTCTGTAGACATTCCCATACTATCTTAGAATTGATTACCGGCAAGCTCAATGCTTTGATAGCTGCTTGGCTATCAGATATTATTACAATTTCTCGTTTTCGGTACCTTCTGTTCAGGTTGAACTGCACGCATTTTCCGATCGCATGAAGTTCGGCTTGGAATATGTTTGGTGATTTGCCCATTGGCCCCGAGTATCTGGTTCGTGGCCCGAATACTCCGGCTCCTGTCCCCTCAGCAGTTTTGGACCCGTCTGTGAACCATTTGATGGTGTTTGCTTTAAGAGACTGGATACATTCTATGTTCCATCTGTTCTTTGTATTTAGTTCGATGGAAAAGTCCATGAGGTGTGCACAGTTTGGGAGAGGGAAAGCTCTGCCAAAGTGCGTTTTCCCTTGTAGACTTATCTTCGCCAGTCTTAGACTTGATTCACTGGCAACCCGCTTCACTATTGTATGAAGTGGTGTTAAATCTAGAATGACTTCCATTGCCGCGGTTGGGCATGTTCTCATTGCTCCTGTGATGCATAGACATGCGAGTCTTTGTAACTTTCCTAGGGGTTTCCTAGCCGTTACTAGCTGGGTTCGGCTGTATCAGGCTACCATTCCGTAGGTAATGATAGGTCTCACTATCATGGTATACATCCATCGTAGGATCGATGGGTTACAACCCCACGTTTTGCCCGCAATGTTTTTACATACTATGAGTGCCGAAATTGCTTTGTTTGTTATGTTCTCTATGTGTCGGTTCCAAAGGAGCTTAGAGTCTAGGGTTATTCCTAGGAATTTAACTTCTTGTTTCCAGTGAAGCCTGCTTCAATCGAGGCGAATGTTTCTCAGGTATGGGACTTTCGTTCTTTTTGTAAATGTTACCAGTGTAGTTTTTGATGAGTTAAAATTCAGTCCCACTGTCTGACACCATTCCTTCGTGGTTCGGATGCTTTTTCTATAAGGTCACAGAGTATTCCTTCGTGTTTGCCTCTGGCTATGATGACAATATCATCGGCGTAACCAAGGCAGTTGAAGCCCTGATCTGTCAGTGTATTTAGTAGATCATCGACTACTAGACTCCACTTCAAGGGTGAGAGCACCCCTCCCTGTGGACATCCTCTCGTTGTGGTGACTTGTATGGTTTGTTCCCCCACATCCGTTTCTGAAGTCTGGTGGCTAACGTTTCACACATCCAGGTGGATGTGGTTTTGTCCACTCCTTTTCTGACAAGCGCATTCTATATTGACTCATAAGGGGTGTTATCGAAAGGCCCCTCTATGTCTAAGCAGTGTGTTTTGGATGCTGTCAATGAGTTCAAATAGAGCGGTTTCTGTTAATCTGCCCGCTTTGTAAGCATGTTGCCTAGGATGTAGTGGCGTCTTTTCTAGAACATTTGTTCTGATATAGTTATTTCTTTGTTTTCTTCAGTACCATTGGGTATACTTCCTGGAAAATGGGTTTCCAGTAGTAGAGCAGCTCGTTCCTCTTCATTTTCTGTATAACTGCCGTCTGGTTTCTTAAGTGTTAATGGTCCTTGCGCCCTGCCTTTTGCCATAGTTGAATTTAAAAAAAGGAGTAACGAAATCAGGGAAGAGTCTAAGACAGAGGACGTGGTTAGATGGACACGCTTTTGGAACGAGCATATATCCAGGATGGAAAACCACAGACTGGCAAAAATCGCCAGAAATAGAAAACCAGCATCCAGCAAACCACCAGGACGGCCTCCCAAGAGGTAGAAAGACAGCTGGTCGTCGGCATCCCAGGGGAGAAACAAGCCTTAAGGCATCCGCAAAGGAAGAAGAAAAAGGTAATCATCAATAAAGTAAAAGACAGTATCACTTTTTAATATAGATCTATAGTGAAAACAAACATCTTATATAACAAAAAATCACAGCTTGCCCCTAAAAATTACAATTACTTTTGTGTATAAGCACCCAAATTGATTAAAGGCGTGTAAACAGTGTTAGGAAGCGCTTGGACGTTTTGAAAATAATAATTTGCCACGTACTCTTCAGGTTTACTATTTGGCTCTTGAGTTTTCTGCAAAATCACTTTTTGCAACCTTCCATCGGGCTGTTGTAGATAAAAGAAACTTCCTCCTCCTGCAACTGCGTTTGATACCGAAATATTTGGACCTTCTTCAGTCTAAAAACGTTTCATTATAATAGCAACAAAAATAATTATAATTTGCAATTACTTACCTGTTGATTATAATCGTAATCATTTGCTTCAACAGTAGTAGTACTTGTAGCTGTTGTAGTTGAAGGTTTCAATGTAGTAGCTACAACACTCCTTGGGGTGGTTTGAGTTGGCAAATAACTTGTAGGCAACGAATTTGAACCTCTTTGAGCTTGATGTAAAGAGTTTTCAGAATTCTGAGACTGTTGAGGCGGATATTGACTTACTTGTTGAAGCGAATTTTGATTAATGGAAACTCCTCCAAATGAGTTTTCAGGTTGTCGTTGTTGGTTTTGGTTGTTGAAATTTATCCCAGAAGATTGTTGTGGCGAATACTGATTCATTCCAAATGAATTCTGAGGCTGTTGACTATTAGAATTTTGAGGTGGTTGAGGCACAAACTGACTTTTTCCCAATGAGTTTTGAGGTTGTTGAGGCACATACTGATTTTCTCCCACTGAGTTTTGAGACAAATATTGCTGTTGGGGTTGATTTTGTCCATTTCCTCCAAAAGAATTCTGTTGAGGCTGATATGAATTCGCTCCAAATGTACTTTGTTGAAATTGTTGCCTAAACCCTGTAGGAGGTCTATAAGGCAACTGTTGCCGATCAAAATTTTCCACATGCTTAACATCAGGAACACCATAATTCTTGTGAGGTCTACTTTGTAATTTTTCAGTCAAATTAATCAGTTGCTCAATGGTGAGTTTAGAGTTTAGCCTCAGATCGGTAATGGGTGCTCTATAAAGGTGATATTTTGAGGGTGGTCTTAAGCCTCTTGGAAGGTCGCATAGAGCTGTTGCACATAAGAGTAAAGTTCCTATTATTATCTGTAAACAAAAAAATTTATGCTAATAAGCAATTCAGAAAGTAAAATTCAACTCTCACCTTCATTTTGTCCACCTACACGAACCCGCTTCAACCTACTAATAAAGTGTTTATTACATTTTGGAATTTATATAATGTAAAATTTTAAATAATTTGTATGCGTCTTGAGTCTTTATATTTTTCAATAGTGCGTATTGGTGGGTGATTCGTTTCAATTGTATGCTTATATGGAAATTATCGGAATTAATTTCTAGTGACCTATAAAATTAAGTTTATATTGCGAAACTCTCCATAGAGTGAAAATGATAAGGTGGAAAATCCAGGAAAAATTTGCCTGAAATCGTGCAAATACTGGTCAACTAACTTAAAATGAGTATCTAATAATACGGAAATATTAGCAAGAAAATGTTTCTCTGTCAATTCAAAATTCTTAAATTTTCATAATTTTTCCTATTCCAGGCTCTTGAATTTTCCTTATTTCTTTATTCCAACTTCCTAATTTTCTTCTGACTCTTGATTTTTTTCATTCCAAGCTTTTGAATTCTTATTATTTATTATCTCGTATTTTAGGCTTTTGATTTGTTTTTCAGTTTTCACTCTTGGCTCTTCCAATGTTCGTCCTAATTTTGTGTTTTTGTTGTCGATTATCTATTCATAATAATAATTGAACCCTATGCTGGAACAACGTTGTAAACGACAATGTGTAAAAACGGTATTTTCATGGAATAACGTTGTATTGTACCCTGGATAATTCGCCAACTTAATAGTGGGATAATATGATTTTTTTTTTATGAAGTGTTGATGCCAGTTCAAATGGCCCAGTATGTCCTTTTTGTGCAATAACGTTTTAATTGCAACCGCCCTAGTTTCGCGCTTGTTTGGTATATTTGGCGTTTGAAACGTTGTTCCAGCATAGGGTTCAATTATTAGTTAATCGAAAGCTAATCTAAATAATCGTCTACTGATAAAACGATCCTTAGGACCGGTTTATCAGTGGAGGGTTATTCAGTTTAACTGTTGGTTAACTGATAATATAATTGGTTAACCGACAGCTAAACTAGATAACCCTCCATTGAAATGAAATGAACCGGTCCTTAGCGTTCTTGTAGCTAACCTCACGTTTCATAAACATCAAAGTAGGCTTTAGGACGGCCATTTTCAAACAGTATGTAGTTTTTTACAAAATGGCTCGTTATTTCCAATTTTCATGCAAATTTAGTGCGGAAAAGGGTCTTATTAAAAACGTTTCTTGTGACGTGGGGCATCGAATTTGCTGTAGAAGACGGCATGAAAGAAAATGCCTTTATTTTCATAGGTGGCTATAATATCAAAGTAGGCAGATTTTTTCACAGATAAGTAGGTACCTGTAATCACTTTTTATCAAATATTTTATTATTTAGAAAGTGATTTTAAACGATTCCTTATAGTCTGAAGCATTGATTTTACTAATAAAAATATCAACCAAGGTAAGTAAAAACTGTCATAGGCGGCCGTATTAGCTAACGTCACATTTTGAAAATATCAAAGTAGGCTGTGGCGCAACCATTTTAAAATTGTATATTTGCACAAAATTGCAGAAGTATGGAGTTCAGTACAGTACGCGACACGTCTCTGGTTTTTCTTCAATATTTTCCGATTTTCAGTTGATTAATTTCAGGATGAAAAACTGTTTTAAAAAAGCCGAAGATAACATAATCAAGGTAAAAATTGTCATAGGAGCCCCATTAGCTAATTTCACGTCAAAGTAGGCTTTGGACGGCCATTTTAAAATTGCGTTTTGGTATTATTATACAGTAAAGAAGGTTTATTGTGGTGCGAGGAATTGAATTTATGGCAATTTTTGAAGAAAATCTAACTTTTCATCAAGATAAGTAAATATCAAGGTTCCGAAAGTTAATAGGTTGTCTGGTTATAGTAAACAGATGAGTGACGTCATCAGGAAGATTTATTGAAGATTTGGATTATGTAAAGACATCCCAGATGACGTCAAGTTATTAGTCAACCTACCTTCTTTCAAGCAACCTTGAGTAAATATTATCATATTAACTAACTTCGCGTTTCAATAATATCAAAGTAGGCTTTGGGCGGCCATTTTAAAACTATATTTTTACAAAATGGCAGTAGTCTTGGTCAAGGTCTTGGTTCTGGAGTTCAGTAAGCGTCACATTTCTGGTTTTCCTTGTTCATTTTCCGATTTTCAAGGGAAAAGTGTTCCTAGTGATTTGAAGCATTAAATTTACCTTTAGGTGGTAGAAGTGTGGGGTATTGGTTCAATTTTCCGAAGAAAAAAAAAAGTTATCAATGTAAGCAACAGTTGTTATTGGCGGCCATATTAGTTAACCTCAAGTTTAATAAACATCAAAGTAGACTTTGGGACGGCCATTTTAAAAGAATATTTTTGTACCAAATGGCTCGGTATTGGAGTTCAGTAGGCGCAATAAACTATAGGTACACCACACTTAACTGGAACGGACCTAACAGCTGCTTTCAATGTCTATTTTTGAAGCAAGTTTTATAGTATTGTCCGTCGATTTTAATCTGATACTCGGACGCAATGTGAGCTGGTGGCTCCCTACATTAGAACGCCAATGGTTACCTGACATCACACCTGTTTTTGCCATATGAAACACCCCCTCGCTCCTCATAACGCAAGTGTCAGTTAAAAATCGACGAACAATAGTGAGAACGACAATAGAAGGGGTTGTTTGCTCTGTCGCACACGAACACGGTTACGAGTAATCGTGGGGTATAATAAATCCACCTAGCCTTGTCTAAGAATGCGTAAGACAAAGACGGCAATTCCTTGTACTTTATTAAAAATTTGTCTCAGGGGTGATAAGTGCTGGTGTCATTGCATTTACGAAGTATACATTTCACTGTACGTTAAGGCGAGAAAGGACACGCTGTCAACATCATCACTGGTACTTTGGCGTGGTGAGATGAGGGGCTTGAGATTTGAACTACACTGGCTTTACGAGGATAGGCTATCCTGTGTAATGTGTATTATCCTTGTATCAAAGTAGCCTTTGAGGCGGCTGTTTTGAAACAGTATTTTTATTACAAAATGGCTGTAGTCTCATGTCTCATTTCTGAAACTCCTAAGTGTCGCATATTTTTTTTTTTCTTTTTAGAATATTTTCCGGTTTTCATGCAAATTTAATGCGGAAAAGTATTTTAAGACGATTTTTGTAATGTGGAGCTTGTAATTCACCACAGACAGAAGGAAACTGAAAAATACTGTTTCTGGAAAAAAAACATCAAGGTAAGCAAAAATTATCGTGGAGGTCTAAGCTAACTTGACGTTTCATAAACAATAAAGTAGGCTTTAGGGCGGCCATTTTGAAACAGTATTTTTTTACAAAATTGCAGTAGTTTTAATTCTGAGCTCAGTAGGCGGTGCATCTATGTTATTTTTTTCCGAATATTTTTCGACATTCACGATAATTGAATGTGAAAAAAAGATTTAAAAGGTTTCTTGTGATTTGGGGCGTCGAATTCGCCGTAGGCGGCATCAAAGAATATAGCTTTGTTCCAAGTTCCAATCCCCAGCAAGTAGATTGGTTCCGAAACCGTTCTTGGGACGTTTTTTTGTCGGGTTGGAATAGACAGAGAACACTCCACCAGATAGGATTGCTTAACCTTTTGTCGAGTCGGCAGTTGGTCTGTAGGTGACGTCACCACTATCAGCAGCTGTTAGTGATGACGTCACCGGCAGGCCTCGATGGATTGCTTGCGATTCAGCCTGTGCTTGTGAGTTAATTTTATCGTCGATTTTGAATGTAGAGAAAGTGGTTTTAACGTTTTTTTTTCACATATAGTGTCATAAACTGGGATAAAGCATTTTACGACAAGAATTATTATTGAATAGTGGGGAGTTATCGCGTGGACATGGCAGACATTTTCAGGCCCCGATTCTCAAAACAAGGGAGCAGCGTTCTTATGAGAATATAATTTTCCGTCTTTTTCGTTCATATGAGATTTTGCATTGAACTAAAAAGGACAGGGCACTTGTTCTCATAGGAACCACTTATCTCTCGTGTCGAGAATCAGAAGCCAGCTCTTCAAGTTTTGATTTGGTTTAAGTGTTCTTGTAGCTTAGCTCACGTTTCATAAACATCAAAGTAGACTTTGGGGCGGCCATTTTGAAACAGTATTTTATCACAAAATGGCTCGGATTTGGAGTTCAGAGGGCGTTGCATCTGTGTTTTTTTCGATCATTTTTCGATTTTCATGCAAATTTATGCGGAAAAGTGTTTTTAGACGTTTCTTGTGATGTTAAGACATCGAATTTGCCGTAGGCGGCATCAGAGAAAAAGACATTATTGTCATAGGCGGACATATTACTCATATTAGCTAACTTTACGTTTCAAAAAACGTCAAAGTAGGCATTAGCTATAATTTTTTTACAGATGCCAGTCATCAATTTTCTCGAATATTTTCTTGTTCTCAACCGATTTCATCACAGTATTTTGAAATGATTTCTAGTAGTGTGGGACATTGAATCCACCATAAACAATAGGGAGATAATCAAAGAAAGGTAAGTAAAAATTGTCATAGCCGGCCATATTAACTTACTTCACGTTTCATAAACATCAACTAAAAAGTAGGCTACGAGACATGTCTCTGGTTTTTCTTCAACATTTTCCTATTTTCAGTTGATTTCAGGATGAGAAAATGTTTCAAAGAAGCCGAAGATAACATAATCAAGGTAAAAATTGTTATAGGAGCCATATTAGCTTACTTCACGTTAAAGTAGGCTTTGGACGGCCATTTTAAAATTGCGTTTTGGTATTATTATACAGAAAAGAAGATTTCTTGTGGTGTAAGGAATTGAATGTATGGCAATATTTAAAGAAAATCTAATTTTTCATAAGGTAAGTTGAAAGTTATCATATTAACTAACTTCGCGTTTCATAAACATCGAAGTAGGCTTCAGGGCGGCAATTTTGAAACAGTATCTTTTTACAAAATGGCAGACATATGACAGTAGTTTCTATTCTGAAGCTCAATAGTCGTCGTATCTCTCTGTTTTTTGTTTGAATATTTTTTGATTTACGTGATAATTGAATTCGGAGAAGTGAATGGAAAACGTTTCTTG